GAGGGAAGGGTTGGCTGGGGCTCTGCCCCTTGGCCGGGCGCTGCCTGCGCCCAGCACTGGCCTCCCCTGCCCGCACAGCCCTGAGGCCCGGGCAGCAGCCGCTGGGGCTCGCTTTGGAGGGAGCAGAGGGCTGGCTGCTCCCCGGCAGCCGCGGGGCCGCCCTGCCCCACAGCCCAGCTGGGCCGGGGCTCCAGCGGCACCCTGGCTCGGGGGCAGAGGAACCTGCAGAGGAGCCCACACACCCCAGGCAAGGCAGCAGCGTGTGGGGTGCAGGCTGCTGTCCCACAGGTGGCTGCAGAGTGGGCAGGGGCACAGTGGCGGCCCCACACTCTGGGCATCAGGGACTGGGGTTGTGGGGTCGTCCTTACCAGGCTCCAAAGTCTGATCCTCTAGCAGCAAAACCTGAGCTTGTGAACTGGGAACAAAGGAAAAAGCAGCAGAAGCTGAGGCAAAGCAGAGACTCACGTGGCTCAGGTTCCAGGATGGAGGGATGTCAGTACTTGGTGTCTGCTGCAAAGATGGCCCAATTCACAAGCTCAGGCTTTGCTGCTAGAGGATCCTACTTTGGGCTTGCTGGAGCCCATTCCCTACCAGTGCATGGGAGAGACCAAATGGAATGGAATGGAAATGGAATGGAAACGAAATGGAATGGAATGGAAACGGAATGGAATGGAAAGACCAAAGCCTGATCCTCTAGCAGCAAAAGCTGAGCTTGTGAACTGGGAACAAAGGAAAAAGCAGCAGAAGCTGAAGCAAGGCCTCATATGGCTCAAGTGCCAGGATGGAGGGAAGTCAGCAGTATGGTGTCTGCTGCAAAAATGGCCCAGTTCACAAGCTCAGCTTTTGCTGCTAGAGGATCAGGCTTTGGGCTTGCTGGAGCCTATTCCCTACCAGTACATGGCCCCTCATTGCTCTTGTATCAAGTGTTCTGGACCCGTGGGAACACGTGTGCCCTGTGTCCATGCCAGAGCAGCAACTGGCAGAAGATGTCTGCTGCCAGCACTTGTCTTGGCTGCTCCTTCAGTGAGGTGGCACCTTAATCAGAGACACAGAACAGGTTTGGATCCCAGAGTTCTCCCTATCCCCTTCGCTTCTCCCCAGTGCTCTGGATATCAGCTGGGAGTCGCAGCTGGACACACAACAACCGCAGCTTTGAACATCAGACTGGGCAGCTTTTATTTTGCAAAATGCAAGAAAAAAGTCCAAAGAACACAAGGAAACTTGACAGGGTCTCTGACCAATCTAATCTTCCTGCGAAACTCAGCAACTGAGGGTGGTTTGGTGCTGCAGGTCATCACTTCCATGCAAAAGTCATTCCCGCAGGAGAAACTGCTTCTGCCTTCTGACAGCTGCCGAGCAGGGCCACCAATTGCTCCAGATGCCGCTCCCAACAGCCCCCTGCAAGAGCGCAGACATCAGTGCCCATTGGCTTTGGCTGCCCTGTGGCAGAGAAGTGCCCCGGGGACACAGCTCTGTGGGGCAGGAGATGGGCACCAGCCCTGCCAGGACTCGGGGCGGTGGCAGGTCTCCTTGGGCAAGGACTTGCCAGAGCTGCTGATTTTGGTGCAGCTCTGGGCAATGGGGTGGGAGCAGCATTGGTGCCCTTGCCCCCACTTTCCTTCTGTGTGTCACAGCCCCGTGTTCGGGAGGGCCACCAGCAGGGACTTCTCCAAAGGAGCCCACGCCAGCTTGTGTGGAGGCCCCGTGGCCTTCCCGCTGCCGCTGCGTCAGCAGCCGAGGGGGCTCCTTCTGCTGCCGTGGGCAGGCACAGCAGGGGAGGGTTTGCTTAGTTTTTGAGCTGTGCCTAAAGTTCATGTCCAGCTGTCTTAGATAGTTTGGAGAACGGACCCCTTTTGACCTTGGGCAGGTTGGCTGGGCTGGGGGAGGCCCCACGGCACATGGCAGGTTGTCACAGGGCTCTTTGTGACACATGATGACAGTACTGGTGGTGAGGTGGCCATGCCTCAGTGCTCCTCGGAGCATGCGACACGACAGACGGGACAGAGTGGTGCTGTGTGGAGCCCCCACGCAGCCAACTCTTTCCCTGCTGATCCAGAGCGTTTTGGAGGCTTTTCTGTGCTGCAAGCGTCCTTGAGGCCAGACCGTGGGACTTGGTGACACGGAGCTTTTGTGAGGTGTCCCCAATCCCTGCGGCAGCTGCCCTCGAGGCCGAACTGCAGGACTTGCTAACCCCTAGCATTTGCTAGACTTTTCTGTCTTTCAGGTGTCTTCGAGCCCAGACTGCAGGACTTGATAACCCATAGCGTTTCTTAGGTTTTTCTCTCTTTCAGGTGCCCTCGAGGCCAGACCACAGGGATTGGTGACCTGGAAATTTTCTGGAGTCTCCAATCCCTGCGGTAGGTGGCCTCGAGGGCAGCCTGCCGGACTTGGTGACCCGGAGATCTTCCGAGGTTTCTCTCTCTTGCAGGTGCCCTCCAGGCCAGCTGTGGGATGGCAGGAAGATGCCTGAGCCTGCTCAGGCCCTTTCGGATGAAGAAGAAGAAGAAGAAGAAGAAGGAAGGCCCTGAGACTTCCCCTGCACAGCAGCCTGAGGAGATGGAGCAGTTGTATCCCCTGCAGGAGGGTGAGTGGCAAAGCTGGGCCACAGGGCTGGTGGCTGCAGCCAGATGGGCCTCTTCCCATCCCCCGTGGACATGGCCAGGGAAAGGGAGGGGAGAAGAGGGCCCAAGGCTGATCCGCCAGTGGCCATGCTCCATGCACTGGGCATCCCGGGGCTGGCCCTGCCTGTGGAGTGCAGGGCTTGCCTGTGTTCTTCGGCCTGTCCCGCAGCCCCTCAGTTCTGACCATGCTCACTCTTTGCCAGATTCAGGCCGGCACCAGACACAGGAGCAGGACCGTGCCCGTGGTCGCTTCCGCAGAGCTGATCAGGTACCTGCAGCCATCGCCACCTGGGCTGGGCCTGCTGTCACTGCTCAGCCTGGAACCGCTATCAGAGCTCTCTATGGCACGTCCTTTTCTTCCCTGCCATTTGTTCTCCTGCAGGCCTTTCTGAAATTCATGGGCATTCAGCGTAGAAAGACCAGGACCTCACCAACTGAGGTCATGGCACAGCCTGACACCAGGCTGACCAAGCTGACGGCAAAGCCTTATGTCGGCACTGCACCAACTGATCGCACAATGAAGTCTGACCCCGCATTGAATGATCACACAAGAAACTCTGACACCACACCGATTGATCAAAGAATGAAGTCTGACACTTCTTTGACTGACGATATGACAGACGCTTACAGCCCATCGATTGATCGCATGGCAATCTCTGACATCGTGTTGACCGATGATCCGACAAACTCTGACACTGCATTGCCTGATCTCACTGCGGAGGCCGACACTGCAACAACTGAAGGCATCACAGACACTGACCCCACGCCCAGTGACAGAGTGATTGATTCTCCCAATTGGGATTTTTTTGAGGAGAATGGTGACTCCAGTTCAAAGCAAGTAAGCAGCCTGTGTCCAGGGCTCAAGCCACCTTCCCTGGGCCCTCTCAGCCTTTGAGGCCAGCACAGTGTGGTGGGAAGTGGAGCATTTCTGGGGGAAGCCTGGCAGTTTGCTTGCTCTGGCAGTTCTCCCACTCTCCCCCATTTCCCCTTCAGTCCAGACTATGGGACTTGGTGACCAGGAGCTTTTCAGGTGCCCATGTGGCCAGTCCATGGCACTTGGTGACCCACAGCTTTCCTGAGGTTTCTCTCTTGCAGGTGCCCTCAAGGCCTGACTGTGGGATGGCAGAGAGAAGCCTAAGCCTGTGCAGGCTGTTCAGGAGGAAGAAGGAGGGCCCTGGGGCTGCTCCAGCACAGCAGCCTAAAGAGGTGGAGCAGTCCCAGCCCCTGCAGGAGAGTGAGTGGCAAAGCTGGGCCGCAGGGCTGGTGGCTGCAGCCAGATAGGCCTCTTCCCATCCCCTGTGGACATGGCCAGAGAAAGGGAGGGGGGAAGAGGGGCCAGGGCTGATCTGCCAGTGGCCATGCTCCATGCACTGGGCATCCCGGGGTTGGCCCTGCCTGTGGAATGCAGGTCTGGGCTGTGTTCTTTGGCCTGTCCCGCAGCCCCTCAGCTCTGACCACGCTCGCTCTTTGCCAGATCCAGGCCGAGATAGGACAGAAGAGCAGGACCCTGCTCGTGGCTGCTGGCACTTTATAGGCCAGGTACCATCAGCCATCCCCACCTGCTCAGCGGACACCACTATTGGAGCACTCGATCGAACATCCCTCTCTTCCCTGCCTTGCTTTCTCCCGCAGATGTTTAGGGACTTCAGAGGCACGGCGAAGGCTGATGTCAGCAACAGGCCAAATGAGCGCATGGCAAACACTGACATCACACCCACTCAGAGCCTGGCTGATGCTCCTGGTCTGGACTCTTCTGGGGAGAGAGTTGTCTCTGCAAAAGTAAGCAGCCTGTGGCTAGGGATTGTGTGGCCTCTCAAGCTGGGTCTGCTGGGCCCCCTCAGCCTTTGAGGCCAGCAGAGTGTGGTGGGAAGGGAAGCACTTCTCGGGAGAAGCTGGGCAAGTTGCTCACTCTGGCAGCTCTCCAGCTCTCCCCCCGTGACCCCTCCAGGTGCAGGCCTTCATGAAGAACATGCATCAGAGACTCACAGCCAACATGTTCCCAGAGAACAGACTGTTCATGGACATACTGAGGCTGACTGATACATACCCCACTGATGTCGCATTGACCCTCCTGCGCTGTGCCCCATCGTGTGACAGGTATGGGGCCCATGTGCCTTCAGGGCTCAGGGCTCACCAGCCTTTAGACCTGTCCCACATGCTCTGCCAGACAGACAGAGAGTTCCAGGATGCTCTGGCCCTTGTGTTTCCCAGCCCTGGCACCTCAGCCCCCAGTCCTGCTGCCATGCTCCCTCCCTGCTCCTCAAGGCACCATGGCTCTGTCACCTGGGCTCCTGCAGCTGCCCAGGTCACAGCACAGTGGCTCAGACTCCCCTGACACAGAGATCTGGCCCCACAGAGCTGCTGCAATCATGTGGAGGACCATAGCCTTAACTGAAACAACAGTGGTGAGGGTGCTGCCAACGCTGCTCTGTGTGATGGAGGACTGGCCACAGCACAGCGTGTCCACCTCCGATGAGAACAACAAGGACATCTTTGCCCTGGCTGTGAGTTTCTGCCTTTGCTCAACCTCAGGTTGCCTCTCTGATAGCCCTCTATCCTCCCCCACTACGGCATCTCCCTGCCTCATGCACCAGGCTGGACTAGGGGTAGGTTCAGGGGCACCAGGCCAGGGGCTCCCCCTGAGTCTCCCCTGGCCTCTGCCTCCCATGCTCAGGCCCTGCCACATGGATGTCTGGGCACTGAGCGCTGTGGCCAGATGATTTGTCTTTTGTAGGCAACCAGAGTGGTTTGGGAAATTCTCCAGATGATCCAGTGCCCAGAGGCATTGATGGAATATTCTCCCCGTCTCCTTGTGGATCTGCTCTTCCAAGTCTTCATCAGCACAGAGCAGATGCCAGAAGAGGTTGACACCTTCTGGAGGAGATGCTGGGAGGGACACCGCCTTGCCAGGAACCCCAACAGGTGCTCCATCCCAGTCCTCCCCTCCCTCCCATGCCCTCAGGGTTGGGTCAGGGCTCCCAGCATGACCTGGGCTTTGCTCTGCACACAGGTTTGCAGTGCTGACTATGAAGACCCTGCTCTGCCGTCTGCACTTTGAAAATATTGTGATGGCAATGGAACGGAAGCGTGGCTGGGACACGCTTCTCAACTCTGACACCCACCACTATGCAATGGGTTTGTTGGCCAGGTGAGAGACCCCCTTGTCCCTGCTGCCCCTGTCATTTCTGCCTGTGCATGGGGCACCCCACACAGTGCCCGTGGTCGAGGGCCAGAGGGCCTTGTCACCCAGGGATGGCTGAGCAGAGTGGCAAAGGCTGGGAGAGGCGGGTGCACAGGAGGAGCCTCCTCCCAGAGTGCCCTCGTCCCCTGCCAGGGTGCTGGGGAAAGACCAGGACTGTGTCAGTGAGTCCCAGGAGAGGTTTGCCCAGCCAGCTCAGGGTTGATGGTGCCTATTTCCCCCTGCCAGGGAGATGCGTCGTGCCTCGAGCCCCTTGTGTTCCCCAGTTGCCCTCTGCCTG